GAAATGGGTAAATTCCGATGAGAATCGTCTGATCAGAGGGTTGAAAGAACTTTCGAATTGTTTTTGAAATCGGTATTTAAAAGATATTTTTTTAACAATAATATGTAAGATTCCACTTCGTATTTTACCAAAAAAAAATTCCTGGAATTTCTCCTTAATTCACCAAAAAGAGTTAAAAAAAGCGTTTCCTAGAACGATTACTTTGCCCTTCCAAACAATCGGAAATTGTAAAATACGGGTCCTCTCCACTTCTACCGACGTTTTTCCCCTTCAAAAATGGCCAACTGAAATTGGATTCGATGAAGAAATGGTCAAAAAATGAAAGAGAATTGAATTGCCTGAGGGTTTCCGGAATATGAAAATGAAAAAAGAGGCGCCAGACATCCGCAAAGACTTGTTATTGCACGAAAACACGTAGAAAGTCTGATTTATCAATTACTGCTTTAAAGGCCATCGCCAAAAAACGTCATCTCAAAGGGCACTTACATTATTCACGTCATTAATTATAAAAAAAGTAAAAAAAATTAATAATTTAAAACATTTTGAGTGTAAAACGTTAAAGACAGCTCATTAAAAGCCTCTCCAAGCATCTCAATGGGCAAGAACAATAGAGCTTTACCAGCAATTTTCACATTATTTTTGGTCATCTTATTAGCTCTCTAACCCAATGAATTAAAAGAAATCTTCCCTAATTTGTTCACCTCCAAGAAAAAAATAAATTCACATCATTATTTGGAGCTTAGACTGCACTTCTGATTTACAAGGTATATTAACGGCTTAGATCTGAAATATATTATACTTGACGTGACTAAAGGCAAGTGTAATATCGGAAAGTGGTCATAAAAGTAAAAGTTCAAAAATCAGCCGCCGCAAAATGCAAAAAGAGGCTACAGAACGGTTTTTATAAACCATTTGCAGCTGGAAGCAAGTTGATATTGTAGTAGTTGGGTTATCCCAACTTTTGGTGATGGATAATATAAAAAGCTATTTTAAATCTTGAAAAGACAGTGATACTAACCCGTATTTTACCTTATATGAATACCTTTTCAGTTTAGAGCTTTTTCCGGCACAAATAACACATTGAAACAGAATGCCAAAAATGGCGGGAAATGCTAAAATTCGAATTTGGAGTTACTCAAAACCCCATGAAATTGATGCTCATCGCCTTTTTATGCCTACTGTCACGCCCTACTCAAAAAATATTTATATGATGTTTCAAGAGGACTAGACTTTCCGATGAAATCCAATGCCCTCCAGCTGTTTTTTGAAGGGAAAACAATTTATGCAACTTGTGGGTAAGATGGTCGGCAAAAAATGCGAGACTCTACAAAATGGAGGTCATCAATCGCTCTTGAAGCACAAAATCTGCAAATTTGTAAACTTTTAGGCCATTTTTGGGGAAATTCTAAAAAATCCGTCATCATGAGGCATAACTTATTCCTTGGAAAAAATTTTGAAAAGAAATTTTTTTCGTGAGCATGAGTACCATCAATGCAGAAAACTTTCACGTTAAGATTTTCAATTTTGTATGTATCAAGGGGTGTCATCATGACGGATTTTCTGGAATTTTCGCAGAAATGACTATTATGGGTCTAAAATAGCGGAAAATAATGCTAATGGAAAATGTAGGAGTATTTTCGTCCTTCTCCGAAGGTTCTGAACCTAAATGCCTGAGGCAAAACAAGAATTCTTTAATTTTTTTCGCACTGTGCAGTCGAGTTTTGAATAAATTCGAAGAATGGGGCTTGCCAGTGCGGTAAACTATGGCCATTCCTTTTCCATCGACATTCAATGTCGCAAAAAGTTTGGACAATCAAAAAAATGGAAGTAAAAACAGTGCAAACTCTGCTCCTTACGTATTCAACTTCCCCTGCGGGCTCAGAAATTCGAATGAGCGGAATGCCCCCAGGCAGTCAAATTAAGGCAAATCCAATGTTTCGCGGGCCATTGAGCCCATTAACTGCCCTTTCCGCACGTGCCCCGCAGCTTTCGGATTACGCAAAAAAATTCCGAAAAAGCGATAAAATACGAAAAAATAAATCTTTGACCTTGTGGCGCCCCGAAAAAGAATTCGGTCATTGGAATTAGGGAAATCGTAAAGAACGGGGGGAATTGTGTGGCCTGGAAAAGCGAGAAGAGCCCACTCGTGCCCTGAGGGGCTTTTCCGAATAAAGTGCGTGAAGAGATGAAAAGGGCCGAAATAAATTTTATAACAACGGATTCCTCAACAACATGCTCCACAATCCCGGCTGGGTTTATCGCGCGGAAAATGGGGGTTTTTCAACCACATTTGTCTCATTCTCACTCTGTACAACAACCTAAAAAGGAGTCGACATGCAATTTGGCGAGCGAGAAGGAAGTGGATAATATCCGATAAAGTCGGGTGTAGGCGTCGAAAGTCGCATCTGGACCCTAATGTAATAATCCCAAGGGGAGAAACGAGAGATAAGACCGAGAGATTTGATAACGGCAAGACCCAATTCGTTGATTTTACAGGGAAAAGGTCGGAAATTTTAGAGAAATATCAAGTTTGTCATGGATAATATAAAATGATGACTAAAAATTAAATTTTTTGATGATTTTAAGATTCCAAACAATAAAAATGTATGTCAAATTAATTTTAGAGTAAGTTCAAGTCATTTAGAGGCTGCAACAGAATGCCAAAACTAAAAATTTCAATTAATTTTGAAAAAATTTAAATTTCTTACGTTATTCATGGAAATTTTGATATTTTTATTAAAAAAATATAGCTAAACCTTGTCTAAAGTCATTTCAAATAACATCCTATTAATTTCCCCACCACCCGTTGCCCTTTTCACCCCTCTTTGACCTCATCAAGACGTATTTTTGTCATCAAATACCCCCTCAAACACGAATTTCCTGCAATACAACACTCGAACATACCGTAAAGCCGGGGATTTCTTTTCACAAACACCGCTGAACACTTGTTTAGACACTTGTCAAGGATCGAATTACGAAAAAGTATTATAAGCCAAGTCTAAAAAAATTGGGAAAAAACGAAGAAATAAATTATAAAGAGACTTTTTGAGGGATTAAATCCTCGGAATTCGATAAACAAATCGGTCAGAATTCGAGATTAGGTACTAAACTTTGTTCTTACAACCAAAAATTACTATTTTTAGAGCAGTTTCAACTTTTGATTACTTTTTACAAATTCGAAAAAAAAACTGTTTAAAAACTACTATTTTTACTTCCAGAATTGTAAGAAACCCTCATGAAATCAGTCAGACTCCCTCGAATTACTATTTACAATCCTCCCTTGTTTACAGTCTAAATAATTAAAAAAGGAATCGCACTTTTCGGCCCCAAAAAACAGGAAACCGGAAATCAGATTGGCCTACCGGGCAAAGGAGGGCTCACGGGGAATTAGCTCGGCCCGATAGTTGAAGACACCTGTTTCACGCGAGAAAAGTAATCGTTTTGCACGCGGAAACGTCGGCGCTGACGGAGATCAGAGATCCGGGGAGGTGAAAGAGACAAAAAAAGGGCGTCGACTTGAGGAGTATTGGGACAAATATTATCCAGTTCGACATTTTGGAGTTCCAGGAATTTTGAAAAATCGAAAATACGTCATCGTCTGGAAAATCCGTCATCCTGACGTCATTTTATACCTAACAAAGTGTTTTGAAGGTCTGAAAATTTTTATGCAAATTCAAGAAAGCTTGGTAATGACCCTTGATATTCCAGATTCATTAAAAAAAGGTGTAAAAGATGTCATCATGACGGATTTTTTTGGAAAATTAGCCGTCCCGAGGGCAATTCCTGCCTAGCAATGTGATTTGAAGGTCTGAAAATTTTTATACAAAGGCAAGAGAGCTTGGTAATGAGCCATGATATTCCAGATTCATTTAAAAAAAGGTGTAAAAGATGTCATCATGACGGATTTTTTGGAAAATATGACGAACGCTGAACTTGATGTCATTTGGTGGGTTCCACAAGTAAAACAATGGATTTCTATGCATTTTGGAAATGTCTCGACGCCACGCCACACCTTTCAAATTTTCTCAGGATCAGCTTATATTACACTAGTGACATTTCGAAGAGATTTATTTTAAAAGTTTCTCCAAGAATGTGCAATGTTGAATATAGTCGTTTTAAGGCGCGCGAGAAAGGTTTTGAGGGTATTTTGAAAAATAATTTTTGAGATTTTCCGATTACCCATCTACTATAATGTATATAATTTTAGGCCCAAAAATTGTAAATAAAGTAATGAGGATCAACAATACCGTCTAGACTTTCATTCTTTGTACTATAAACGCGAATTCAAACCCATTTTGAAGTCGGCTCGTTTGTTCCTCGAAGCGGATTTCCACACGTACTTGACAGCCACTTGACTGACGAGACAACATTCATCAAAGGTGTGAGGGTAAACAAACGCCAACCTGATTAATCTGTTTTTTCCACGTCTTGGTCATTTTCTCAGTAGAGGTTCCTGGTACAACAGGGGATTACAACGATTAAAAAATTTTAAAAATAAAAAAAATCCAAACTTGAAATTAATCCGAATTTTGCTGATAAAAGCTTACACTAAGAACATAATAAGCTGCAAAAAACTTGCAAAACGTCCGTGTGATAAAAATTTACTTGCCGAATTACAGCTACAGTAACAAATTTCGAAGTAGAGAAACACTTGACTCATTTGGGGTCCACTGGGTCAAGTGTCTCTCTTCTTATTATTTCTCTCGCAAATTGTGGTTGATGAGGTTTTCCTCGATCAAAAGCCGTTTCAAGACGAAGAATCAAGACTTCTGACTTAGTTTATCGTTTTTATCGGCATTTGGCGATTCTTTTGATGTTATCCTTCATATGATTTCGGAATTTAACTGTTTTCTCATGGGTCTTCTGGATTTATTGTTCTATTATACGTTTACAAACGTTTAGCCTGCTTCTCGAGCGGAAGATTCATCGTGATGCATCGTTTCCGAACGCTTTTCTTCAGAAATTTTTCCATAGTCTGATATTTTTTTGTGATTTTAGGTATGGCCGCCTTTCCAGCGCCATGGTTAACAATAATGAAAGAGCAGTCTTCAAAAGATGCCAAAGACTATGGGTCAGCGAAAGCGTATGCCGATGCGGTGCGGAAATGGCATGCAGACACGTACAACTGGCTGAATTCCCAACATCAAGATTATATTGCTCATAACCCGCCAACAGTAAGCAATTTCTTGATATTTTTTATGCTTTTAGGAAGAAAATGTAGGTGAAGATAGTGCTGATATCAATAACAATGGGTTGAGACGACGAGGACCTCTGGTTCGAAGAGTTTTTCAATTTGTGATCCGAGGGAATCAGTCTTCAACGGTCGTGGTGGAAGAATGTGATATAGCTTCGTCCTCAAGAAGAATATTTGCGGAACTTACTGATTTTGTGTTGCTTCTGCTCCTCAAGATGGTGATAGTTTACGTCCTCGTCGATTTGGAATTATTGTAAGTGGAAATATTTGAAGTTTTTTGAAAAGCAGCAGATCTTATGGTTAAGATAAGAAAATCGTTTCTCTATCCCAGTTTTTGATTTATTTCGTATTTAAATTTACCATGAAAGTTAGTATACAACCCGTTTCAGAGATCTAGACCATTTGGAACGGCTTATAAGCTCAACAACAGACCTAGACACCTTGATTAAGTTGACTCGAGGTCTATTTTACGCGGAATTGATATCTAAATTATTTTCGAGCTTGTTTGAAGCCTTCTGCATAACTTATGGATTCTATGGGACTCCTCAGGGATGTACGCCGGGGAAGAACTTGTTGGGACTTCAAGTAGTGCAGTATCAGGAAATCACAGAAATTCCAAATCGACCTAATCGAGTTCGAGTGGTCAGAGCTCCCTATGTATCGCTTAAAAAGTAAGTTCGTTGATTCATTTTGTATTGTTGTGAATTTAGAAAGCTAACCTTTGAGTTTTATTGAAGTTTGGGGAAAATTTCGACTGTTTTTTGACAGCTTATGTCATGGATAATATGAAAATTTTTTTGATTTCTTAAATTGACGTGTGAAAAAGCCCTTCAAAGATGAAACAAGTCATTTACAGCTCGCTGATCCGCTCGATCTTCAAAAACATGTTCACAAACTTCTTCTTTCCCATCAATATTTTCTGTTACGGCTTCAGTCATAACCGATCCGTGTACGACTTTGCCGCCAAAACGCTGGTCATTCAACGCCGTCCCGTACTGTAGAAACGACGATAGCTTTTGTTTTTTATAACTTATTTATTGTACATACATAGATGTCTATGAGATCGCTCAACGGCAGTAAAACAACATGAGGTATATGGGTGTTCAACACGGGTAAAACAACTTGAGATCAGGGTCATAGTATTGCTTTCTCGCTGTACGAAGAGTCAGCTAGTCGGGGAGCCACCGACGAGGCGATGATCACCGGCTCCGAATGTACGGAGTGATTCGATTTCGCGCTGTAATACCTGTATGATTAGTGTAAATCCACGAGAATTTTGTTGGAGGTATGACTATGCGGAGATGATTTTAAGAATTTTTTTAGTCTAGGATCCCCAGGTAGTAGGAAGTTTTTTAATTGGAGTATTTTTAGCTAAAATTTGGGCGTTTTCGATATTACACTAGGCATCGATCAAAAAATTTGGTGTTATTTTTGAGGCTCAATACTCAAAATTGTGAGAAATAAAGTTGATATGTCTTTTTACAGTGTTAGCTACAAGTATTCGTTAAAATTTGATCATCGAGATACATTTTTATGTTATACTTGATATTAACCTAGAGTGTCCATATGAAATCTCGTAAGACTCTTATAGGTCTCAATACTGGTTCATGGAGAGCAGTGAGGACTATAAAACTATAAAAACACGCAAGATCAAAAAATCCATTGCTTTTGCAATATTATACTAGATATTGTTTTAGGTCATCTCCTGTTTGACAAGGAGAGTACTTCTGTGTATGGAGGTACAGGTCGAGAAATATATCAATAAAATCGCAAAATTTTTCTGATTCACAATCTGTAAAAACTAGCTGCCCTATTTTGATTTGTATAGGCGAAAAAATCCTCAGAAATTTTCTCGCAACACCACGTAAATGCCTTTTTGACCAAGTGTTTACCAATTCATAAGTTTTTTTTGCTAAAGTAAATCCTGGCGTCTTGATAAGCCTTACGTTATCAAATTTGATTAGTACTACAACCTTACTTAGTAGTTCCTGTATAAAAAAGGGGCATTTGTGTTGCAAGAAAAGTTCTTCCGCCCTTACAAAACAAAATTGGCAGCTAATTTTACATATTTTGAATCATAAAAATTTTGCGATTTTATTGATATATTTCTCGACCTGTAACTCCATACCCCATAGATGTACTTTCCTTGTTAAATAGGAGATGACCTAAAACAATATCTAGCATAATATTGCAAAAGCCATGGATTTTTTTTGATCTTGCGTGTTTTTATAGTTTATAGTCCTCACAGGCTTCCATCGACCCGTATTTATTTTTTTTTTACCAATAAGAGTCTTACGATATTGTATATGGACACTCTAGGTTAATATCAAGTATAACATAAAAAAGTATCTAGCTTACCAAATTTTAACTAATAGTTGTACACAACGGCGTAAAAAGTAATATAAATAAAGGGTCTTTAGATGTTCCTAAAGGGCCTTAAACTCAATTCCTAGCTAACTTACGTGCTCTGTTCAATCCGTAGGCCATAATTCTTGCGATTATTGCACTGCGAGTCCCTCCGATTATTCGAATTTGCTTTGATGGAGTGCATACGAAAGGAAGTATAGTCCTCAATCTCCTTCCAATTCCTCTCGCAGAACTCGCGCCACAACGCTCGAATAACATGCATCACCACCAACTCGCCGGCATGATTGGCCATCAGCCGCAGCGTGAAGATCCCGTCCGTTTTCAGGAATTCGGTCACAAATTTGTGGAGAAGATAGGTGTTCGGAAGGATCCCCAGCTCCTTGCAATCCATAGAATCTCGTTGATTAGAGGTCGTCGAGGTTGAGAGTAACTTGGCTCGACGTTTTTTGTCGTTTGATTCGGCGATCTGCATGTATTTTAGGACGTAATCCACTTTTTCCGACTGTAGACAGCAGTTGGTCAGCCAAAACATGGAAGAACAGCTGAAATTTGGAGGGCATTCAAGGGGAAATACGATTTTTTCGTAGGATCAGACGTATTTTACCTTGATTTTGCGGAATTAGGTAATATCATTTAGGGGGTTTGGTCAGAATCGGCATGAATTTATATTACTTTAGGTACAGTGGGGGATCTGATCCAGTGGCAAAAAAAATGTACCATTTTGCATCCAGGAAGTATCAAAAATGTGGCAAAATGCTTCCCTTTCCAAGTGAAAAAGCTCCGATTTCAAAAGCCCTTTAAAACGAAGTTTTTTCACTTGAAGAGGGAAGCATTTTGCCACATTTTTGATCCTTCCTGGATGCAAAATGGTACGTTTTTTGCCACTGGATCAGCTCCACCACTGTACAAAAAATTGATATATTTTTTTGTATTCTCCGCTCCAAATTCTCTTCCAAACCCTTCAAACTTACGTCGTGATGATGGCCAAGACCAAATACCAACACCAAAAGAAGGCAAACACCTTCTCGTTGATGATATTAATCAGCAATGCACATTGCACCGTGTATCGATTCGTGTTCGCGAGGTATCGGACCTCGAAATCGCAGAGCGTCACCCGCGGAAAATGGCCACTCTCCGTCCACGGACGGCCGGCGATCAAATCCGAGAGCACTTGGAACCCGAACAACAAATATTCGTCGGACTTGAGGGCCGCGTTCAGTAACATGAATTGTAAAACAATATTAAAAGTGTAACAGAGTTTGATAAATAGGTAGAGGATGGTTACATAGTGACCATTCAGCAATCTGAAATGGGTTTTGATTAGTGGAAAAGTTCAGAATTTGAGTGTGTCTCTTTATCACAATTTTTGGTGATTTTTCTCCAATTTTTGTGGAAAATTGTAAAATACGTTACACCCAGTGGTTGGATCGGTATAAATTTGACTTCAACTCACTCCGGAGTTGGACGATTGGGGAAAAAGACGATTGGGGGAGACCGAAAAGTATTATTTTTTCTTCAATGCAAGTGTCGAAAGTAGGATAATCGAGGGTGCTGATTTCGAAAATCACATTCATTTTTTTGATAGTTGCTTTTTTCTTTAAGTAGTACTGTAAAGTAGTAATTTTTATTTTTTCATGAATAGTTGATTTGGGGGGTTTCGATGGTGCTGATTTCCAAAACCTTATTCATTTTTCTTCTGATTTGAAAGCCGCACCATCAAACACCCCCAAATCAACTATTCATGGAAAAAATTCCAAAAATTACTACTTTACAGTACTACTTAAAGAAAAAAGTAACTATCAAAAAAATGAATGTGATTTTCGAAATCAGCACCCTCGATTATCCTACTCTCGACACTTGCATCGAAGAAAATTAAAACTTTTCGGTTTCCCCAATCGTCCAACTCCGGATTGAGTTGAGGTCAAATTTATACCGATCCAACCACTGGGCCCGGTTCCACTCACTCCACTTGTATTCCTAAATCGGAAAACAAAAGGAAATCCTCACCTTGTACATTTAAATCGGCCAAAAACGCTGGAAGCCGGATGTGGGGTGACTAGTGGATCTTGAAGATCCAAAACGTCAATAACAGAGGAACTGATGGCCTCCAGCATCTTTTCCTTCTCCAATGGCTCAATTACACTCCTCGCATCACAAGCAGACGCCACAATGTTCTGAATATTCAGGCCTGTTTGCCAGTTTAATAACCTCCACATTATACATGGCATGGAGAACATTAGGGCTTCTGCGATGAGGATAAATGGTACCCATTGGTAGTACCCGATTTGTTGTTCTGTAAAATACGTGTTACTTCAGTTTTGCATTTAAAAAAGTTGAATTTCAATCGTGAGTTATATCATTTATATTTCTTTAGGCAATTTTTTGTCTAAAAACAGAGAATTTTGGTGATTTATGGTAAATTTAGGGTTTATAAAATATTGTAAACGCTTTGAAAACTCATTAGAAGTATCCACAATTATTACTAGTTAAAATACGAACATTATTTTTCCATATATTACACTTGTTATGCCGTCATAAAATCGAAAGAATTTTCTTTCCTCTTCATTTTTAAATTGTTACCCAAATAACGTGTCGTTCAGAAAATGTAATTTAGCACATAGAACAAAAAAATCCCAAAAAATTTTTTTAATCCCCTCAGGGAATTCCCATTAAACTTGGGTGAAATGTGCGTTTTTAATCTTCGATTCGTTAGAAACTACATAAGTGTCTTGTCCATTAGACACGTAGCCGTCCTAATTTCTCACGATTTACGTGATATTTCATAGAAAGATCATATGTTTAGACCTACTCTCTCTGGACTGATGGTCATCCGGGATATTCTCGTACATGGGGATGAAATAGGTGTTCTGAATCCAACAATAGCTCTCAATGTACTCCTCCATGGACTCACGGGAATGCGGATTCACCCAGCATTCGATGGGTGTCCCACCGTACTGAAAAAATATAGGTTTTATATCAGATTTGCCATGTATAATATCAGTGATAACACTCGAAATGAAAGGCTCGTATTACAATGAAATTTGGTATACTAGTTGTTTATAGGCCTCATTTCAATTACTGATAATTTTTGGCTCACAAATTGCAGTCATAGCCGAGCTATTCAACGATTTTTTTGGGCGAGAATGCGCGTAAAATGAAGATACGGTTAGAGAAAAGATGCTTTTTTGGCTATTTCTCAGCGGATTTCAAGCGGAAAAAATCATATTTTATAGAATGCAGACTGCAGTAATGCATGGTAAACAGATGGCTAGTTTTTTTTCAGAAATTTCTGAAAAAAATTTAAACAAACTTTTTTTTAGAAATTCGGCATAAAACCCTTTGATTACTGAAAATTGCTGATTAGAAACCTAAAATATGCCGCAGAAATTTTTTTACTATCAGATTGGTCATGGATAATACAAAATTAGTCCAAAATTTTTACAAATAATAACGTAAAATGACAATCTCCGAAAAAGTCCCACCTGTTTGGCACTGATGATTAGACACGCGACGGCCAGCATGATCGGCGTGTAATAGTAGTTGAGTCGGTCCACAAAGTCGTCATCACCCCGCAATCGAAGGGATTGTATGAATGATCGGGCCAAGGTCGCGTGGAAAAACATATCCGTGTGGCGACCCGGGTGCAGCGCGTCCTCGCCGCTGAAAAATTTGAGGGTAAAGTACGGGAATCAATTTTTTTAAGTCAAATTCTAAAAAAATAAGAAATGGATTGTCGTCTAAAATACGATTTGTTTTAATGAATTTAAAAAAAAAAACATTAGATGTGATGTAAAATACGAAAATCTCAGCGAGGTTTTCGCTATTATTCTAAAATTTCAGGCCTAAAAGAGGGATTTTTTATTGAAATTTTTTGTTTTAGTTAAAATACGGGTTGATTAGATGTTATTTTTGATCAGAAATCATTCCTGGTTCCATGAATTATCTAATTGTTTACATAAAAACTTTCCTTTCCCCCCGTATTATGCGCATTTTTTACATTTTCTCAGCTGTTACCCTTAGGTCGAAAATCCTCGAATTCCCGCGGTAATCCCGTTCGCAATTCTCATCCTAACATATAAAACTTTTTCCAAACAACGTGTAAAATCATAAATTTCCGATATTACTTTAGGTTTAAGTTTGATGACACAAGCGATGGGCAGCTCGGATATGGGTAATACAACAAGTTATGGGGCTTGTAATAAATCCACTTAGGGGAGTCGGGGCCGCCGGATAAGACCCCGAAATTGTTGGCCTTTCCTCAAGTTTTCCCACCGTCGCATTTATTATAGATATGCACTCATGGCCGCAGGGAAAACGGGACACCGGGAAATTTGTCAAAAAACGAGGGAATTCGAAAAATAAATTCTATAAAGAGGAACGAAGTAAAGTAAAATCGAAAAAATAGTAGTGAAAAAGTTAGAAGTAAATAGTTTTGGTCGAAATTCGGAAGAGGAAATACCTGAACTGTGATTATTGGATTTTGAGGAATTCTGGCACAAATTTCGACTAAAATTTTGTAAGGCGTTTGAGAGACTGTTAGCTCGCGCTTTGCAGAAATCAACGAGATTTTTTAGGTTTACAGTCGGGGTAGCACTCCATCTTTTCTTTCTGCGGTGCAAAAAATCGAAAAATTTTAAGAGCCAAACAAATTTCAAATTTGGACTGCAAAATCTATCTATGGCGTACAGCATTTTCTAAAAATACAATTCTAAAATTTCAACTTGTGCTTCGCAAACTCACAGGGGAAGTACCCCAAGTGCGACGCCCAGATTTTGATGAAACTTGGCACAAATTTAGAATAATTTTTTCTAAGATCTATGCGAGAATCCTAGCTCGCGCTTTGCAGAAACAACCGAGATTTTTAGATCGAAAGTCGGCGAAAATTTAGGACTTTTTGCCGAATCTTGGCACGAAAAGTTTCATGCCTATTTCTCCCGTAAAGGATTAATGTTTCTACAAAAAATCAAATTTTTTCGCACGAAACTGCCAAAGTTATGGCGAAAAAGGTGTTTTCTCTCTGACCGCTCTCCAAGTTTAGCGTGCTCTCTCGGCGGCAAAAATCGTTCGATATCTCGGCGGCGCCCGCAAAGCGCGAGCTAAAACTCTCAGGAATTGATATTTAGTCCATGCCCGACGTGTGTGCAAAATTAAAAAAAAATCTGAGCGTCGCACTTGGAGTACTTCCCCTGTCAGATAAAACATTCGCTGTGTACGCAAGGGACAACGGGAAACGAGGAGAGGATTTTTTATCCATTCTTTTTTAAATTATGACAAAAATGCGGTACTCTTCACATAGAACGAATGTCAAATTTTATGGCCTCAAAAAATCTCAATGATTCGATGACAAAATTGTTTTTCTTCCCAAAGCTGGCATATAGGATGCAAATACCGAGTAGTTTTTGCCGGTTTCTAACCAAAATTTAGTTACCCAGTAATTTTAATTTAATATTTTATGAGCCAAAAATGTCATAAATATCATTTCCTTGATATTTATGACATTAAAAATCTTTTAAATTAAAAAAATTTCACATCCAGGAAAGTTGTAAACATCCTTCCGGATGGTTTGCAAACCCTCTCTTGATGAGTGCAAAACCTAAAAATTCCCATGCGAATGTTAAAAACGTTTACGTGAAAATAGCCAAGAGTTATCGGCGGACGTTTCGCCTTGAATGAAAATCGGTAAAAGGTTGGGCCGGAAACGTGGCCAAACCCGATAAAACCACAAAGTTTGGGCCTCGAAATTACTCCCCCCTTACCTTTTATTAGTTGGCATATTACTATTTCGAAAGTTGGGAAGAATGGCAGGCACAGCAAAATACGAAAAAATTGAGTCAAAAGTCTTTTTAGGGATCAGCGAATAATTTTGAAAGAAAAATTACATGGTAAAAAAGATTTGTTTACAGCTTTGAGATTTTTTGAACTATGAAGAAAACAGGGAGTTATGAAAAGGAAAGGCAAAAATTTTTTTAATTATCAGGACTATTTTAAAAGCTATAAAAAACCTAGATTAGGATTTTAAAATTAGAAAAAAATTAAAATAAAATTTGTTTTTTGTAAAAATATTTTTGATTAGTCAAAATCAGGGTTTCGATCTCATAAATCAATGATTTTGACAAAACGTGATTCAAAAGTCCTCAAAAAATTGAGTTTATTGACAGTGTTAACATTTTTTTCAAATTTTAAAACTTCAAAATCAATGTTCAAAATCTCAAAAATCACATCAATCCCCTCTCGACTTTATGCTGCCAAAAGTTAACTGCCAAAGAATCCGCAAAAGTAAAGTTCTTGAATCGCGTGCCGAATTTAAATTAACCAAATTCGCTGGCCAAAAAACCGGCGGGAATTAACATAAAAGTAGTCGTATCTACAATCTGGATTGTTTTCCCTCAGGCCATGTTTTTGGCTTATTAAATTGCAAAATCTGGGTTTAGCGGGAATTGACCAGTGGATTGGAAAAAGAGAGCGTTTTTGGGATAAAACAAGCCCAAATATGGGTCGAATGTAAACTTGGAAGAGGGAATATGCTTTTAGAATTATAATTAGAGGGTAACGGGGAAGGCTAAAGTTGGTTTAGATATTTAAAAAATGCGAAAAGTGAAAATTTGATGATTTTTGAAGGTATTTCCAAAAAATCGTCATTATGACGCATTTAGTCACTAAGAAATGTCAAGGCTATGTTATTAAACAATTTTGTGGACAATAAGCTTCGCAACGGTAACTTTTGTCCTAAATTTAAACCGGTTTTTTGGTCGGAAAATCGAGATTTTTTGAGCTCCCGCCCATGAAATGCCCATAAAATGAAAATGGACAGAGATCCCCTCGGGCTGTAAATACCCTATCAAACAAAAGGTGATACGATGCCATCACCCTCAAGATTGTAACTCTGTCTTAGCCTCAAAACCACCGACAGAAACAGGATTAAGTTTTCGATAATCTTCTTCCCGCTTTTTCTGGTCCAGAAAATAATTTTTTGAAACCCTTTGGTCGGAGGCGGAGGATCCTCTCCGCCTACAACGACCCCAGTTCCCCAATTCTTGGCTGTGAGGCCAATTATAGACACAACCTGACAACAATGATTCTTCTATATCATCATTCGGCGGGGGTTTAATTGGGCCTCGAACATGGAACTACACATGGTTCCAGGTAGGTAGCGAAGGGGAAGGACACACATTTTTTAGGTGAAAGGTTTCGTGGAATATGGATTTATAGGCTAATATTGAGGTAGCATTTTTGTTTTATCGAATTTGAACTTCACACCTAATACAGCCTCAGGCTATTTTTTGGCCATAACTTTGGCCAATTTGTGATTGGACTCGAGATTTTTTGGCTGCAGGATCTACATTCGATTACACGTCTTTTGGGTTTTGTCCCGTCTTTCTAGCTCATCTCTTTGATGGTTAGGCATAGTTATGCCTTATACGGCGCTATGCTATTTGCCTTTATTCAAAACTTAATTTTACCTTATTACAACTCCACTAAAATCAAGTCCAAATGGCCCAAAAGTCAGAACGCAACTTACTGAAAAGCCTGTGTCCACATGAACGTACCCAACGGGCGCAATCGTCGTTATGATTATGGGCGCAAGAACATTCGCTGAAAGCAAGGGAAATGTAAACGTTTTAATGAATACCGGTAGTCGTGTGGCGGGTTCTCAAGCCCCCCACTGACGCGCCCTCCGTCCTCACATCGCGAGAATATGTGCATAAAGTTGAAGAATGACGGTGCTCTTGACGGGATTTTCGTATTTCTTACGAATAAATTCGGGATTTGACGAGTTTGAGGGGGATAAGAAGGAGGTGGCAGTTTTTTTGTCCAAAAAAGAAATGATCTCAGAATTAACGAGAGAATTACTTATAGTATTTTGATGAAATTGGGCCTAAATTTTAGCATAATTTTTAGCTGGCTCTCTGTAGAAATCGCGGCGATATTAACCCATTTTCTCCAACAAGAAAGCACGCGAAATTTGGAGAGTGGCCAGAGAGAAAACCGTTTTGACTATATCCTCGCCAATTTCGCTCGGAAAAACTGAGTTTTTCTAAAAACGTTGCCCAAAACTGCAATTTTTCATGGATAAACATGCAAAAAGTAGTACTGTAAGAAAGGAGGGAGTGTAGAGCAAAAAAATGTAAAAATAAAACAAAGAATGACAATTCAGACTACAGTGACGGACCTGATCCAGTGGCAAAAAGCGTACCATTTTGCATCGGAGAAGTCAAAGAAATATGGCAAAATGCCTCCCTCTCCAATCAAAAAAACTCCGTTTTGAAGGGCGTGGTCTTTCCTCAAAAAAAAAAAAAAAAAAAAACGCGCGCTAGACGTTATTGAAATAGACGTTTTTTAACTTGGAGAGGGAGACATTTTGCTACATTTTTTGATACCTTCCGGATGCAAAATGATACGTTTTTGCCACTGAATGAAGTCCGTCAGTGTACCATTCGAAATGGAAAATAAACCGTTGTTTTTGGAAAACGAAGGGCCGTTGTAACACCATGCACATTTTTCTGTGCTCTAAAACCGCCTCAAGCTGTTTGGACCCCAAAAACTTAAAGCCTGTGTCACATGACGGCATTTCTCTCCGATTTCAGCGGTCACACTCGTATAATATGCACCTTGGAAGTGTAAA